GCGGCGAGCCGGCGCCGCCCGCGGCGGCGGGCGCGGCCTTCGCGGGCGACGCCGGCGGCCCCGCGGCCCGGGGCCGGGGCCTCGCGGGCGCGGACCGCGACGCCGCCGACGAGGAGTTCGCCGAGTTCGCGCCGCCGGCCGCGGCCGCGCGCGCGGCGCCGGCCGCGGCGGCGCCCGTCGCGGCCGCGAAGCGCGCGGCGCCGGCCGCGGGCGGCGCCCGGGCCAACGGCGACGCCGAGGTGCTCGTCAAGCTCTGCACGAGCTGAGGCACGCAGAGGAACTACCTCGAGCTGAGGAAGTTCCTCGAAGACGCGTACCCCGGCCTCCGGTCCGTCGCGGCCGAGCAGTACCCGCCGCCGGCCGTCGGCGTGTTCGCGGCGCAGGCCGCGGGCATGGCCCAGGTCGCCTGCGTGGCGCTGCTCCTCGGCGGCGAGAAGGTCTTCCAGCTCTTCGGCGCGGCGACGCCGGGCTGGTACCACTCCGTCGCGGAGAACAAGATGATGGCCTTTGGGGCCGTCTGGATGGCGAACAACGTCGCGGCCCAGATGGTCGCGACGGGCGCCTTCGAGATCCACGTCAACGGCGAGCTCGCCTTCTCCAAGCTCGAGACGGGCCGCCTGCCGTCCGCGGCGGACGTCGTCCGCGGCATGAAGCGCGCCGGCTTCGCCACGGACCTCGAGGCCCGCTACGTCGGCGACGCCGAGTTCTAGGCCGCCACCCCGCGCCGCGCCGCGCCGGCCGCCGCCGGCGCGCCCGCCGGCGGCGGCGGCGCGCGGCACGCGGACCCGCGAGATCGATGACGCGGCCGGTCCTTCCCCTCGCCGGGGGGACCGGCCGCCGACCACCGCGGCCGTCCGCGCCGCGCCCGCCGCCGCCGGCCGACGCGCCGACGCGGCCGACGCGCCGACGCACCCACCTGCCTGCTAATCCCATTGCGTGTGACTTCGGAAGCTAGCATAGCCCGCCGGCGGGATATGCTAAACGCCGACAGCGCACCAATTAGTACACCGGGAGGGGGTCGCGCCAGGGCGCGACCGGCGCCGCGCGCGACGCGAGGGACTCGTCCGACGACGACGGGTGGACCCGCGCGTCGACGCGCGGGCAGAGCAGGTCCTCGGACGCGGACCGCGGCAGTCGCGGCGACTCGTCGGACGAGGCCGACGCGCCGTCGTCCGCCGCGCGCGCCAGCAGCACCGCGAGGCTCGACGCGAGGCGCTCCATGGCGTCGACGTCGGCCGGGAGCCAGCGCCGCCGGCTCAGGCGCGTCACGCCGCTCCGACCGCGCACGACGGCGCCGAGAGAGCACGCGGGGAAGTAGGGCCGCGGCATCAGCGGCGTGCCCGCGGGCTTGGCGCAGTGCAGGTGCGTCTCGCAGCAGCGGTCGCAGCCGCCGTCGTCGGCGCAGCTCCGCGGCATGGACCGCTTGAGCTGCTTCGCGTTCGTCACCGGGACCGGGGCCTTGAACTCGAGCGCGTAGACCGGCCGGTCGCCCGACGAGACCCAGGCCGTATCCTCGACGTAAACGCCGACGGACTCGACGTCCCCGACCGCGATCTCCTCGACGTCCCAGAAGCAGACGTTGGACCGCGTGCGGACGACGAGGCGTTCGCCGTCGGCGCGGAAGTTCACCGGCGTCGAGAGGTCGAGGCATCGATGCCACGTCGCGTACTGGCGGCAAGGGATCGTCGCGATGGGCAAGTATGGCCCGCCGCCGCAGCAGACGCCGCAGCACGCCGCGAAGAGCCGCTCGGCGTCGGAGTCCGGGCCCACGACGTGCGAGGCCTCCCGCTCCTCCATGGTCTGCGCCGCGACGCATTCGCTCCTCACGTGCAGGCCGAAATGCATCGTGTGCTCGCCGTCGAGCGTTTGTAAAGCCTGGTTCTTTTGAGGGCGCGACGAGTCGTTTTTCTGTGGGCACAAGGCGACAAGCAAAGTTCTACAGGCAGGTACATATAGAACGGTACTATACATAGAACGGTACCCTGGGGATTAAGAGTGCCCGGCGATGCTCCGATAGTCCCAGAACCTGCTGATTTTGCGCACACGCCGAGGCCGAGACAGGATGCGGCCCCCGACAAAAGAACCGCGCAGTTTGGCGCCGAGCGTGTCGAGTACCAGAGCCTCTCCTAGAGGCTCTCAATATCCT